GGTAGTAGTAGTAGTAGTAATAATAGTCGTAGTGGTAGTACGAGTACTAGTCGTCGTCGTAGTAGTCGTAGTAGTAATAGGTAACGCCCTGCGCGTCCGGGTCCCTAGTAGTGGACAGTTATTATGATGCTGTTTCGCTGTCCTTTCCGTGATTTTGTATTTTCTGGAAGCTCATGCGGCCCATGTTGGGCAGCAGAATGAATATTTACATGTTGGGCGTAAGTTGGCCCCCGTTCCTTTAATCGGACATGATGGAACCGGACGTCCTTTGCGCCCAGGCACCCCGTTGTCGAAAGTGGAGGATGATGAGTTGGAACAGGATGATGATGATGATGGTGACGATGATGCTGTTGTGGTGGTGATGATAAGGATTTCTACAGGTTCCTAAGGATTCCGAAGGATTCCAAGGAATTCCGATGGTTGGCTAAGGATTCCTAAGGATTCCAATGGATTTCTTCTGACTTCTAAAGGTTCCTATGGATTCCTAAAGATTCTTCAGGACGAACTAAGGATTCCTGCCGATTCTGAGGGATTCCGATGGGTTCCTATGGATTCCTAAGTATTCCGGTGGATCCCTCAGGATTCCCAGGTAGTGAAATCGTTCGGAATCCTTGCATATCCTAAGGATTCACTTGGTTTCCGAAGGATTTCACTAGGGACCCGGACGCGCAGGGCGTTCGGTTTGCGCAAGGAGTCTTCAAGAATTCGCTTGGGATTCCTGAGGGATTCCCATGGATTCCTAAGGATTCCTATGGGTTTCTCAAAATTCCTAAGGTTTCCGATGGATTCCTGAACATTTCTAAGGATTACTACGGATTCCTGTATATTCTCATGGATACCTATGGATTCCTAAGGACTCCTGCGGCTTCCTAAGGGTTCCTATGGATTCATACGGACTCCTGAAGATTTTCCCGGATTCCGAAGGATTCCTATGGGATCTTTAAGGATTCCTGGGGATTCCGATGGATTCCTCGGTATACCTAAACAATCCTAAGGGGGTCCCAGGTATTAAAATCCTTCGGGGCCCTTGCAAATCATAAGAATTGGCTGGGTTTCCAAAAGGATTTCACTAGGGACCCGGACGCGCAAGGCGTTCGGCTTGCGCAAGGAGTCTGTACGGATTCGCGATGGATTCCTATGGATTCCCATGAATTCCTAAGGATTCTTAAGGATTCCTGAGGATTCCTAAAGATTCCAAAAGATTCCTGCGGATTCCTAAGGATTCCTGAGGATTCTTCAGGATTCGTAGCGATTCCTAAGGATTCCTAAGGATTCCGATGGATTCCAGAGCATTCCTGGGGATTCCCAAAAAGGTTCCTAGGTAGTGAGATCCGTAAGAATCTTTTTGCAAATCGTAAGGATTCGCTGGGTTTCCGAAGGATTTCAGTAAGGACCTGGACGCGCAGGGCGCTCGGCTTGCGCAAAGAATCTTTCAGGATTCGCTAGGGATCCCAATGGATTCCTACAGATTCCTACGGATTCCCCAGCGATTCTTATGGATTCCTAGAAATTCCTAGGGATTCCTGAGGATCCTTTAGGAATCCTAAGGATCCTCTGGGATTCCTGCGGATTCCTGAGGAGTCCTACGGATTCTTATAGACTTTCCCAAATGTATAAGGATTCCGATGGATTCTCACTGATTCCCATGGGTTCCTATGGATTGCTAGGCATTCCTAATGATTCCTAGGGGCTCCTAGGTCGTGAAATCCTGAGGAATCCTTCCGAATCGTAAGGGTTCGCTGGGGATTCCTCCGGGATCTCACAAGGGACCCAGATGCGCAGGGCGTTCGGTTTGCGCAAGGAGCCTTAAGGATTCGCTAGGGATTCCAAGGGATGCCTAAGGATTCCCGAAGATTCCTATGGATTCGTATGGACTCCCAGGGATTCCTATGGATTCCTAAGGATTCCAAGGGATTCCTATGGATTCCTACGGATTCCTGAGGATTGCCTGCGGCTTCCTGAGGGTTCCTATGGATTCTCACGAATTCCTAAAAATTCTTACGGATTCTTATGGATTCCTATGGATTCCTAAGGGTTCTCAGGAATTCCTGCGGATCCCCATGCATTCCTAAGGATTTCTATGAGTTTAAAAGTTCCTAGGTAATGAAATCCTTCGGAATCCTTACAACTCGTCAGGATTCGCTGGGTTTCCAAAGGATGCCGCTAGGGACATGTACGCGCAGGGCGCTCGGTTTGCGCAAAGAGTCTTCAAGGATTCGTGAACAAATCTTAGTTCTTCCCAGCGGTTCCTGAGGATTCCTATTGATTTGTATGGATCCCCCAGGATTCCTAAGGATTCTTAGGGGGTCCTACAGATTCCGATGGATTCCGACCGATTTTTTGATGTTTAAGGATTCCGAAGGATTCCAAAGGATTCCTGAGGATTCCTAAGGATTGCTATGGATTCCTACGGACTCCGAAGGATTCCTATGGATTCCTACGGATCCCCAAGGGCTCCTCAGGATTGCCTGCGGCTTCCTAATGATTCCCATGGATTCTT